TTCCTCACACAGTCCCAACTCGACCTTTTCTAGTCTCTGTGACTACGTTTACGCCGTAACTTTCGATCGGATGCAATGTAGGGAAAATTAAAACCTAGGTACATTTGCCATGGGTATATATGCCATGATAATCTCAAGTGGATACGTCGAAATTACTCTTCATGTTCAAAGTAGTATTTTCTTTTTATCTGAGCTTTTCTTGACCGGCGTTTAGACATTATACGATTTGCGTTCACACTCCATGACTCCAATATCATAAATAATTGCAAATTTAGCTTTAAATGATGTCTAAAGATTTGACATCAAATTCAATTCCGTTTACGCCGTTTGGCGGACTATTCCGCTAAGTGTGTCAGATTGAGTTAGAGTATTGCATCCGATCGAATTTCAACCCTGCAATCGGATAGAACTTATCCACTATGTTCATGCGGCGTAAACGAAGTCTGTTTCATACTACAACACATTTACACATTTCTGGAAATGAATGCTGCCATACTTTCATTGCCTCAAAGATGGGTACCTATGCTTGTATATTACAGCTCGCATTGGACTCAATCAGTAGGGATTTTGTCCCTACAAAAGGTGGTGTTGTATGTTGTTGAGGTTAGGCATTGAAATAAAAACCATGTTTTCGACTGTGAAGTACGACTGCTCGCACCGTCATCTTGGATGAAAAATACAAAAAAATAGTTTTTTTTCAAAATAACTCCGATTCCGCAGCCGTTGATCTTACGAAAAACAGGTTCAAATAAAAGGTAAAGAACACAAAATTAATAATGTTCATTTTTCCGCCGCTGCACTGTAACTCAGAACATATTAGAAGTACAAAAAAAGTTCATTTACAAAAAAATGTGAGAAATGTATTCTTTAACTTTTGAACCTTTTTTTCGTAATATTAACCACTGTGGAGTTATTTTCAAAAAATCGATTGTTTGTACCTTTCATTTAAAATAGCTGCGCAAATAATCCCTAAGGTCGAAAACAATATTTTTGTTTTAAGGACCAGACCCCAGACCACAACAACATATTCTAAAATTACTACTATACATCACTATCCCTTGCAGGGCAAAGGTTGAAAGGTCTTATTTGTCCTAGACTAACACGAAAATATTTGACAACAGTAGCAATCAAGCATTTCAGTCAATCTTCACGTATGGTTCCGAAAATAAAGGTACCTACCTACTTATTGTTATTGTTACAGACTCTGCAAGCGCGCTTCAAAGATTAAAACATACCAATCACGTCCTACTAGAAGATTTATACAACCTGCTACTGATGAACCATCAATACAGCAGATTTCTCTGGATGCAATCTCATATAGGAATCGACGGCAACGAGAAAGTCGACAGTAAATGAATCAACTTCCAAATCCAACATTCCAATATCAACACCAAATTATCATTAGCCGCCTTCGCATCGGACACACATCACTAACATATCTGCACCGTAATTACCAAAGATGATCAACCGAAACGAAATTGTGATATACTACTCTCAACTATAAGCATATCCTAATGACGTGCCCATAAAAATAAGTTAATATAAAGATTCTTATTTATAAGAATCTTATATATGCGATATGTTTGCTTTTAAAAAGTATTTCTATAAATAATAAAGTTGACATCCGATTTTTGCAAAATACGATACGCTTATTTGTACTCAAAAATTGGTTTACAAAACCTTTAAAAAATTTTTTATGCCTGTCGAATGGTTATTTTTTTTATTGCGCTTCAAACTCGAATTTGCATACTTTTTTGCCACGAAAAAGTCTGGCAGCACGACGCCGATGTCACAAATCAAACATACATTTTAATCGTGTTTACTTACGCACAAATATTTACATTCAAACTTCTTTTCAATTTTCATTTTTATCTCAGTCCCAGTCAACATCGAAGAGCAACATAGCAGTTCTTTAAAATGACAAGCAAGCAGTTGAAAATTTAAGCTAAATATTAATTTATTATTTATTTTAACTTGTTCCAAAAAATTATTCGGCAAAATGGTATATGTAATAAATAATAATCGACTGATTTTGTAGTACCTGGCACATTGGTACATTTAACATTGGTTACCAAAGGGTAAGGTAATGTATCCCAGACATTGGGGTGCCATCAAATCGATAAAAGATATCACCGTGGATAAGGAATCAAAGCGGATGCGACGCATTCTTTTCTTGGAATATGATACACCTTCTAGACTCTTCGAGAATATTCCAGAATTTTTTCCAGAAACTTTCCATTTGCTGTATAAGCAAATTGAAGCGTACTTAATGGAAGTTCCCACATCGATGCCGAAGTGATTATTAGTGAAGTCCGCATTAGTATGTGATAAATTTAGCTGTTATAAATTTATGTACAAGACTGTTATAAATTCATTAATAAATCTAATAAATCAATGAAATTTACATTACAGTAACTTTGGTTCTGGCAAGCTCACTGCCATACTAACCTGTATTTACGTAAAAAAAATGCTAAAGCAATTTATTTAATCACGCGTTTGATCTCGAACTTTTTCCGTTGCAACAAAACTTTCATGTAAAAGTAAAATTATCCGATTAAAAATGAAGTTCTTGTGTTTTTACCCCTGGTAAAAATTAATAGCAACTACTTAGGACGTATGAGACAAGGAGATTTGAACTCATCATACACCAGAACCACAGATATACGTATATCTGTGCCAGAACTGACGAAAGGCTGACGGATGGATAGATTGACAGAAATTCTGACTGAGATTCATAAAGAATGCTCCAGTTAAATCTGTCACTATTTATTAAATGTCTGGCTATTTTAGTGGCGCTAAAAAAGTTGCAAGCATTGGTGATCAATTAAAATAGAACAGAAACACAAAGATGTACCACGAAAAGTTTTACCCCCCTAAGAATTGGTAAAATAAATGCTCTGGCAAAAATCCAAAAACCGGTGAATTTATATACTTATCCAGGGTAGTCAATTTTTATACAAAAATAATGTTTGCAACTTTAACCCTATGCTAAGGGTCCACAAATTTTTAAATGCGACGAGGGGTCAAATAAAGGGTACTTACACAACTGTTTTTATTCTTTTTTAGTGGATCGATTAGTTTCCGAGAAATCGGGTTTAAAAATTAATAAAAGTCCCCAAAAGGCTTAAACTAACCAATGTGTTGTTAGAAATGACCTCCACTAACTTCCATAAGTACATACAATAACGCTTTGTCGTAGTTTTACACATTTTCGCCTGGACGGTATGAAACTGTTTCATAAAATTTTCAAGTAATCACGAGGATAAGTTTTTAAAAAAAACGATGTTCGTCAAAAATCAAATCTACTCTGACTTGATTATAATGCCTTATTTTCCTAATTATGGATCCATCAGTAGCTATAGAAAAATGGACGTTCTCACTATGAATTGCAATGCTGATCAATGCAAGCAAAAAATGTTAATAGTATATAACTAATTATAGACCTGTTTTACAATTGGCCGACCTTTGAAAAAGAATGCTTACAGAGGTACTTATTTATGCATTCCAAATGTTAACGGTTAACCCATTTCTCTATTACTCATATTTCCAATTTTATTTTCAATTACTGGGTGTGTGTACAATACAACCTTCAACGAAGTGGTATGACTGAAGATAAGACACTTCCTGCTCAAGTGTCATAAATTAGATGCACTAAATTTTATCTTCTGCAATCTTTATTATACACGTCACATAGAGTTACATAAAATAAATGACAAAATTAAGGTACTTATCACTTTTAAGTCCGGGTTTTCATTGTATCGTTAGCTCTATTTGACAGTTAAGTATGTGTACCCATCTGATACCTCTGAGGTATGAAAAACCACCTAAATGTTAATAACTAAAACAGTTTAAATCTGCATTTATTAAATTTAGTCGCAATGATGTATTTTCTCGCAAGTTCATCGGTTGCTTTACCTTAGTGTAAAAGCACTATGATTGTGAGCGACTATGTGATGCAGGTTAATGTGCAGCTTAGTATGGTCTAACGGTTATGCTGATGCAGTGTTTCCTAAGCTTTCCAAGAAAGTTTAATCACGTAATGTACAAAACAACGATTGATTTCCAAACACAAAGGTTATATCAACATGGCGAAACCGGCACATTAATGAATTACCTATATATCTGAATTGGGCTTAGTTGAAACAAGAGAGAACACAACCCCTTGTTTTCTTACTAAGGTAGAACGTTACTACAACTTTCCTGGGAAAAGTATTGACAATTATGATTAGATAGCAATGTAGGTAACCTGAAAACTAAATTCATAAAACTAATTAATGCACAGCGATGATCGTGGTTAATCAATGATTAAAAAATGCACTCACATTTCAATATTTGCAATGATTGGTTAACGGTTAACCTGAATAATGTTTTGTGAAACCGACCATAAATATTAATTGACAATACGTAGGTACCTGAATCTTTATGGTCTAAATTTCATGAATTGTCCCCTCTTTTTTACATTAAAAATAATCTTTTTATTTCAAATATTAAACTATACAATGGCAAAAATTGAAATGTCAGAACAAAAGAATCTTCAAGGTATCGTCAATATTTTAATTTGATAATAGGAATAAATACACATATTTAAATTCGAGAAAGTTTCCGGCAGGTTTTAACATTTCTTACATAAGAGGACACCACATTTTGTAAATTAAATTCAAATTTCAAACATTTATACAAAAATCTAGGTAACCGCATTAATTTAACATTGAAATTTGTACCTAACAAAAAATATCCCATTTAATTAAATTTGAGGACCGTTATAAACGGTGAAAGTCAAGGTTGCGTATTCCAAAGAGTTAAAATCGCAATTACCATTACACTTTTACTATCGTTTTATAGTTAAGTTTCTATTTGATTAAACCGCGATCACGTTTTTATTGGTAGCTTTACTACTTTAAAATATAAAGAGAAATTGATACACTTTTCCAAATTTTGTTAATTTTTTTATCAGAACAATGCACTATTATTCGTATTTTCAAAAATAAATCGACACTCACCAATAACGCACAACAACAAATATTTTGCGAACTCATATTTTTAATAGCACATAATTTGATGTCATAATCAACTAAAATTTGTTCTTTAATGCGGTTTATATATGGCACACCCCACTGCATTCCACCCAACCCATGCCAACCAGCAACATCCACTTTCACACTCAATGGTGTTTCTTTATTTTCTGTCTCTTGTACGTACCTATATCGATATTATTTACTGTACTTGACATAAATACCAATTATAGTGAAATTGTATTAATTACTAATTATTTCCTGGAGGGGTATACATTCATATATCTCGTTTACCTACTGCATGGAGAAGCGTCATTTACTGTATTGAACTAATGTACCTATATAGGCACTTTACCTATACCTACATTGTGCAAACGCATAATTATTGCTTTTAACTATAGCGTTTTACCGTCCACAATGATCGCATTCAGAGATGTAAACAGCATTTAATACTTAATCCATATTTGAAAACCATAATAACTATCCACTACCATTGAATAAAAACACTATTTTTTATTCAATGCCACTACTTAATCCAATACAGCTAAACGCTCAAGATTTAAATTTGTGAAGCTTGCACGTGAGCAAAAATCACTTTACAGAGCATTATCAAAATCAATTTTGAGCATAACCGCCATCCTTTATAAAATTCTTTCAAGATTCAAATTTGTTTTTTCGATTTTAATAGCCCTTATGGACATTTCATGCCTTAACGAGAATACAAACATGAAATAATTTTTTTTAGTTTCTGATCGAATGACTCCAATTGACAATTTGGGAATTGCGTATTAGTAGGAGAGCTGGTAGACATTTTTGGGTAAGTATTTGAGGCACGCTGAAAACTTGTCCACCACTTCTCCAATAATACCCAAACACAGAAATGCAGACCTGGCTGAGGAGAAGCGGGGCTAACACCTTGCCAGGCGCCTTCAACGTTTGAAAAAAGAATGTATGCCCAGTCGAGTATCTGAATGCGAATGTTGAAATTTTCATCGTTTTTTATACCGAAATAAAAACAATTCTCCTGAAACTTTCGTCAACAGTGATCAAAGTACACTAGGTGTTCATGTATTTATTGCTGCCAGTATATACACTTCAAATCAGGAGTCCCTTGGCCCTGTGTCATTGATTTGTCAATCAATTTCAGACAAGTTTTTTTTATCGATTTCGCATACCTACTTGATAGTTGTTGCAGCGTTTTAGCGTATGTTTGTATATGTCTGAAATTGATTCACAAATCAATGACATTATTTTTTTCAAACTTTGAAGGCCCCTGGCAAAGTGTTAGCCCCGCCACTCCTCAGCCAGGTCTGCATTTCTATGTTTGGGGATTATTGGAGAAGTGTTGGAGAAGTTTTCAGCGTGCCTCAAATACCTACCCAAAAATGTCTACCAGCTCTTGGACTATATTATATGACTACAGCTATGCCCACTTTGAATTTCATTCAATTCGGTTCATAAATGACCGAGATGGCAATAGGGCACTGTGAATTTTGAATCGATTGGACCCAAATTTCGGAATTGCGTCTTATGGATAAAGCTAAGCTCATTTCATTCAATTCGGTTTACAACTAACAAAGATGTCAAAAGAGCATTCCGTATTTGTTGGCCTGCATTGTCAATTCACGAACTCGAATCTACAAATTTGATAAAAAAATCCACCTGCAAAATTTCAGCGAAATTGGCCAACTTTTTTTAATTAATAATATATAATGTTAAAATCGAGGTATAATTGGCAGACCATAGCGACGATGATTATCAAAATAATAGGGACAAGAGAAAGGGAAGCCAGAGGGGACCGCATAAGGCCATCAAGAAGAAACATAAATGTACATTCGCGGAAGAATGCTCCTGGCGATACCCGCGAAGGGGGAAGTAGTTTAGTGGGTGCAAGCCCCACACTATACCTCCGCCATAGATTTTTCCTCTTCAGGCGGAGGGGTGCGTAAGGCCATGGCCTAAGACATTCCACCATCCCCTTAAATTATTAAAAAAAAGAGACAGACAGACAGACATCAAGAGCGGAAAAAGTGCACGTTTTATTTTTTAAAACTTAACCTACCCCCCCCCCCCCCCGTAATCTTTTAAAAAGTGGTAATAGTCGCATTTTCTCAAAGTCCTTTATTAACGAGCTCCTAGCGAGTTTATAATTTTGCGGCGTCTGTCTGTCTGTCCGTCCGTTAGCACGATATCTCAAAAATGAATGGATCGAATGCGATGAAATGTTGTAGGTGGATTCTTTATCAAATTTGTAGATCGGAGTTCGTGAATTGGCAATGTAGGCCATAAAATAAGGAACGCCCTTTTACCATCTCCGTTCGTTATGAACCGAATTGCATGACATTCAAAATGAGCACAGCTTTAGCCATACAATACATAATGCTAAACCAAGCCATACCCAGGAGCTCGTTTGCTGTATTTATTTAACTTATTAGTAGGTATGTTCGAAATATAATATTATTGCACAAACAAGTTTAAGCTGATTTTAGCGATTAAAGTCTATTATTATCTATGACAACGATTAATATTGCGACACCTGGTTTTCTCACTTTTAAGGGCGCTTCATATAATTAGCGCTACCTAATCGAAGGTATTTGTCTAGGTATTTGTTGAAACCAGCAAGCCCTAGTTGGGAGTGGTTGGAAATAAGAACGAAATGCTTTTCACGCTTTTCCCTTTATTAGAACCTTACACTAGGTATTTCTTACACTAACTCATTGATTAAAAAATTTTCAATGACTAGTGGACTTACATACAACCCTGGCCTAATATACTCTTATTAGGCCATGCATACAACTTCGCTTACGGAACTAAACTTAAGCCTAGAAATATGAGTAGGTATATAAAGCAATGTTGTAGGTAAGGGAGTCTTTTTCCCAAGTGGGCGGAAATTTTCGCTCGTTAATCTTGACGCTCACTTTTAATCCTACCTATGAGTTCGCTCCCTAACAGTATTGTAAGTCCACCCAAAATACTACTCGCATCACAGTACCACTCTCCATCAAAATGTTGAAAAACGAGCGAGTGGACATACGGACAAATTGCCAACAATTTCCTTTTCCCATCATTTGGGAAAATTACGCTAACAATGTCCCTAAGTTAAACACAACATGCACCAAATTCGCTTCTTGGGCATAAAGATAATTCGTTCGGCCGTTTCCCTAACTATCCCCTTTTTTCCATTTTCCAGGAAATTTGTCCGATAGCATTATTTAAATACTTTGTAACGGCCCTAGCGGTTACAGGCTACCCTTCGCCTCTTCGTAACCCACGGACCTCTAAAACCTCCCTTCAAACCACCTCCTGTTCGCCAAGACCAAAGAGTACCCATAGTGTACTCTTTGGCCAAGACAATCTGTGTATGTTTGGTTGCCTACGTCCCGGAACACAGGGAGTTGTATCTCGATAGCTAATCCTCGAGATCGTTTATAATTTTGTATTGCTGTCTGTCCGCCCGTCTGTCTGTCTGTCCGCCAGTTTGTCCGTGTGCACGATAACTTTGTGTTAAACGTCCGATCGCTTTCAACATTGATAGATATACTCTTCACGATGTAAGAAAGGTCGCTATTGTTTTTCGGCTTTGTTTATATTAGTATATAGTCCTTGGGTGTGAGAGTGTAGTGGGAATGTCAACAAACATGACGTCTCCGAAACTACCGCCCTCTCCTGCTAGAAATTTAGATTAAGTCCGGATACCTACATGAGTCCAATTAAGAAGTAATGTTATTAAATTTCACATCATTACAACTTGAAACAATGCCGATAGTTATACGGCTTTGTGTGCGGGTGCACCATTCTGTTGTAGTAACGAACAGTTCCGACGTTAGTTATTTATGTGACTTACATCATTCTATTATTCATAATAAAAAAAAAAGCTACTCAATACAGTATGTACTATTTTTATGGGCCATATAAAAAAATAAAGTTGATGATTTCTTCGAAACGAAACGTCGTATTGTAGTTTTAACGATGTCTTGTAGAGCTCAAAAAATGGCAATGAGAAAGTGTTTTTTTTGTATCTGTTCTAATAACGTCAGAAAAAAATAAACACGAAATTGAGAAATTTCTGTTTTTCGGGCATATCATCGGAAGTAATTGGAATTTTCGGGTTTTGTTTAAACCATGATAATAACTCTTTAACTGCGCATCTTTTTTTCTAAATTTACCATCATCATATCTTCTATGATAAAAATCTTTATCATGGACACAGACACAGTTGTTGGGGGTGCAAGAGAGGTTTAAATGCGCGAATTAAAGTTATTGACGACCCTCAGTTACAATTAAGGTATAACTTATGACTTAGAAACTATTAGAAATGGTAAATACGAACAATAGCACCAAGTTTTAAACGCGCGAAATTAAATAATGTGGTCCTGAAAACTAGAAGAATGGACTGATTGAATTTCATAGTTTCTATTGTGAGAGGTCGACGTTTCAACGTCCCAGGAATCTAAAAAAGTGTTTTTAAAAAATGTCTGTAGGTATGTATGTGCATGCCGTATTCGATGCCCTATAATTCTTGCAAACTAGGTTGCAGTCGAAACTACCCGACCGATTTGATTGAAATTTGAAACAGATGTTCTCTTGAATGGTCTCGACAGCCGAAAAGTTTTTGGAGATGATTCGAAAATGGCAAAGGCCTAAATCGACATTTATTGAATGGCGTATTGTTTTTCCGTCGCATGTGCGTGCAATCGTATTATAAGTTCCCCGATTTATTTTTGCGACTACAATCGTATGACAGAAAATCGCAAGTGCGCGCCTAGCCTAATAAGATGTCACCGTTATAGGAAGTTCTCAAAATTTGGGAAATTTATGGCAATTAACCTAATCGATCATGAAACCCTCTAACGGTATATTTTGATACAGGTTTCATTTTACTTTTCCGCACCCATCTATGGGTGGGTATTGTTTTCATCTCAGAAAAAAGCTTGTTACCACGATAACTCAAAATCTACTGGGACAAATTGCGTAAATTTTTACAGGCGTATTATTACTTGCCGATTGGAGAAGACACCTATTAATTTTTGAATTTTGTTTTCATTTTCCCTAGCTGATACGGGCGCAGATGGACGGCTCCTTTCAATTCCGTAAACATCCAATGTGCGCCCTTCAGAATCTGGCGTGTTGTGACGAAATTCTGATAACAAGATTCAGATCCATAAGGCATGTCTTTGGCGAGATTCAACTTGCGTTGAAACTCTTGATGGTTCATGTTTACTTATTGTCTAATTACAACAATTTTGGACTGATGAGACAACCAGCAGTACAAGAAAACCTGTTAATTTTTGCAAATAATTTATTTCACCTCTGCTTTTTGTTTTTGAGGGAACAAAGGAAGCAAACGAATTTGTTAATAGGTTGTACCATTGAATTTAAATTTTGTGTAGGTAAGGGTTTCACTTGAATCACAGTGTAGATACAAGTTAGTTAAGCGTTCAGCATTTCCAAAATAAGAACGTTGGCGATTGCCAGACTTCATAATGAAGATGACTGTAGACTACCCTCTACTTTTGAGACGCCACCTGAAGGTGTGTCAGCTATTTTCCCATTGATTTATTGTTCAGGTGCCTTTTTAAAGTTTTGGTTTTGTAGTAAATGTAATAAATAATTTGAAATTTTGCTTAAACTTAGCTTTATAATTTCAGAAATTACAGTTTATGAGAATGCAACTTAATGAATATCTAATACTCAATATTGTCTTTGTCTATGATTAGTGTACGACTGGGAATAGTTTTTTCTTGCATTTGCATTCCATGAATCAGCTGGTGTGATTGCAATATCCATATAGTCCCCAACAGATAGTCTAGCTTGCAACAATGTTTTCAAATCATCAGGCCCTTTTTGCCCAGCCATTGTGCTGCCAATTTCTCGCATACGGTACATCGGTGTACGAATATCAGGATACACGAGTGCAAAGGAAAATTTTGTTCCTTTACGTCTAGCTTCTGGATTGACTTCCTTAACTAAAAGTGCCAATTCATTTAATGTAGCATCTTTCCATGTATAAATTTGTAGCTCATTCTGCGGCACGTTCCCCTTGTTATATTCGGACATTTTATGGTGATGTCCCGTGGTAGAGACGAACACACGAAGCAGAAAAGGGCATACCTACAACACATAGTAAAAAAAATTGAAACAGATTACGGAATTATTACTTTCTGTCGATCAACAGAATCTTCCTTTTTCTCTTCTATTATTATATCGATTCCAGCCATTAAATTAAAACAACGACACGATGTCAGAGTAATATTATCTTTATTATGAACACGAAAATAAATACCAACAATTTAAGGTTAGCTTCACATGAAAACGACGACGCTGACGCTTGTAGGCTGAGTTCATATATCTGGCTGAGTTGCAACTTATAATGGGTGCATTCCACTGATCTAACTGAGTTCAGTGGCCAAAGGCGTAACGGCTACAATACCTATAGAGCAAGAAAACGATTGAGAATGCATATTATGCACGGATCTCTTAAAAAAGATATCGGTGATATTATTATTTATTATTTATTATTTATTATTTATTATTTATTATTTATTATTTATTATTTATTATTTATTATTTATTATTTATTATTTATTATTTATTATTTATTATTTATTATTTATTATGTACGTAGTACACGTATAGCGCGCTTTCGATATTTAAAGTGTCTGGCAATGGATACTGCCGACAGAAGGTATTTGGCAGTATTAATTTCTAATTGTTTACAATATTCCCTACTACATCATGCGTAAGAATCAGTCCTCAGACTGTATGTAAAGTGAGTACAATTTTTACGTACCTGTAGCTGTAGCACCTGGTGCCTGAGGATTGGTCATCGGCCCAGGCCAGGGAATATGTATACGTTCACTGTACACAGTAACACTACTCGATTGTCCATTAAAAAATAAGTAACGTCTGACGGTCCTGAGATCTTGCTCTATAATCTATATTAAACCATTCTCTCCTGGCTAGAAAATAGTACTCGTCATGAAGTCCATTGCATTTAAAATCTGTTCCTAAACCACTATTACGGCCTGTGTTTTCAGCTAACAGTGATTAGATGTTTTTGCAAAGAATGATGTAATTCTTTGAAAAAACATCCAATTAAGTACATGCCTTTGTTTTCCAAACTGGCCAGACAACGTATGCTGTGTGAAACCGGCCGTTAATGTTGAAAAGTACTTTTTGAAAAGTACAAAATCTGGACGATTTTTTAATACCAAATTAAAGATTTGATCAATCATTGGCAGCTTTCGAATATACAATGTATTCACCCCGACATGTCAAACTGACGTTCAGTTGGTCAAATAATTAACGAAGATTTTTGCATGGACAGAAATGTGTAAGATTTGGCAACGCTGTTACATATCTATGATTCATTCCAATTTTTTACTTCTTTCAGTAATTTGTTTATTGATTAATTTGTTGCTGTTCTTCTTGTAAATTATTATACTTAATAGATTTTCAAAGTTAAATTAGACAAGTTGGTGGGGTTTGTGTTTTCGTAAATCGTACGTATGTTTTTTAATCTGTAATGGCCGACCCACGTTTAAAAACATTAAAAATTAAGACAGGTGTTGTGAGACGATTAGCTAAAGAAAAAGTAGTTTACGAGGAAGAAGCTGAACAACAACGCGCTAGAATCGAAAAGTTTAAACAAGAAGGAAAAGACGAATACGATATAAGAAAACAAGAAGAGGTACTGCAAGAGTCGCTGATGATGGTACCGGATTGTCAACGTAAATTGGCCAAAGCAATCGAAGAATTAAAAAACATCATTGAGAACGAACTTGACTTGAAGGACTTAGAAGATTATCAAACTGCTGTTAAAATTATTGAAGACGCTAAGTTACAATTACCAAATCAAGATTGTTGATTACCCCTAATTAGTTACTATAATGGACTATTATAACAATTCAAATACTTTTTCAGCTTCCCACTCGCTTACGCACACACAAAACTATAACTACCCTTCATATTCAGTATCGGATCCACGATTAAGCTACGCTTACCATAACACCGTACCTATTCATCAAACTTCCAACGACTCAAATTCCCTGCAGTTGTACGACTTATCTTTACCAGCAAACGTGATAGAAACAAAATCGGATGATGAATTATGGATAGAAACTTGGTTGTCGAAAATTGGTAAAATTCAAATCAACTTAAATTCAACAATCGAGATAAAACCAACACGATCCACCGTATACAAAACTAACAACATTCAAATACACTCTGTGCGTAACTCTCTAAGGAATTGTGTGCAAATATTAAACAATCTTCAATCTTTGCAAGAGTATTTAAAGAAAAATGCATCAACGATGTCGTCTGCAGAGTGGACAAAAAAGACGACTGAAATTGGCCTGATAAAAGAACAATTTTCAAAACATATGTTTCAATTTGAAAGCCAGGAAACCATGAGTAAAATACTAAAGGCAGTGGAACAACGTAAGAAGAAGCGTAATTGCCAGAGAAGAAGACGTCAACAACGATCTATTGACTCTGCCAAACAACGAGAGGAAATCGACAAAGCCCATAAAGAAGTAGACAGATGGCTGGAAAACATGAAGGATGAAGTGGAACGTGCGAAAATGGTACTTAAAACATATTTACCCTTAAATCCTGACTAATAATACATTCTTTTAGGAAGAACTCATGAAAAAAGATGCAGATTGTGTTTTAGCGGAAGTAACGAAGAAAAAATCGGATGCCAGAAAAACACTATCTTTAATAGCCTCTTTAGTTAAATTGCGGCAAGTGAGAGAGCACGCAGCTAAACAACGTGGGGAGAAAGTGTCCTTGGAAGATCACAATGCTTTTGAAAAAGTAACTAATCATCTAACGAAAATATGGGACAGTGCTCTTGAAGTGTACGGTAAAGAGGAGAAAACTTTACAAGTGATGCTGATGCAAACTGCAACCGAAGATAATAATTCCGCACGTATTGCTAAGGAGAGAAATATTATGCACGAATGGGAGTCCGCATTTTTTGGACCAAAAACTATTCTCGCACCTTCTTACTTTAATCTGGCTGTGGCAGAAAAAGATTTGGATACATTTATAGCAATTAGGTAACAGAATGCGGTTTCTTGTTTAACATTAATTTATGTTGTTACAGGAAAAGTTGGGATACATTCTTGTCTGCAGAAGATGAGAGTGTGTCTAATATTCCTGTTGGTTGGGTTTTACCAAATTCTAATCCAAATGGAGATTGGGCTAAATATCGAAACTGTTGATGTGCTTTCATTAGTTTAGTAATTTTATTCTTATTAAAGCTTTTTTACATGAATTTATATTAAGTTATATTCATTATTTGTGTGAAAATGGTTAACAAACAAAGAAATAAATAAAAATCGCTACTAATTTGACTTCCATACAGAAATACGTATCTTTAGTTGTAGAAAGGATTTAAATTGCCTTAAGTTGTTATTCATTGCTTCTTGTTGTGGTCTATTGTCTAGATTTCAATGCTACAGTGACACTGGTGGAATACTACCTATTTAAGACAGATTGTGGATAAAATAGTATACAAACCTCGATGGTCAGTGGTTCATATCCAATGCCTCGCGCTTATACCTCAGCTCTTGGCGTAGGTAATGAACCACTTCCCAGCTCGGTATGTAATTTACTTGATAAATAATTATCATTGCCACCCACAGTTAGTAAAGGAAGTATTGCATTGCATTGGGTAAAAAATGACCCCCAAATTTTTTGGATGGAAATACACATTTCAAAGTACCAGGAATCCGAATCTAACAAAATCTCGATGGTGTGTTTGTATTCTCATTTCTGGCTGAACTGATGGGAACCAAATTTGGTGCACATATTCTTAGACCTAAATAGAAATGCTTTTGGGCAGAATCGCAAGTGTATCAAACTCATTTAAGGCTGAACCGATTGGAACCAAATTTGGTACACATATACTTAAAACATAAAAGGAAGACCTGAAAAGCTTTTGGGGAGAATCGCGCATGTACGGGTGGTATCTGTGCTGGTGACAACAAATTTTTTTTAATGTACACAATTATTCACTTATTAGTGAAAGCGAGAAATACCCTATTAATGACAAAGTACATTTTAAAAAAATTAAAACAGGGTGGGCATTATTAGGCAAATAAGACAAAAATTTGGCTGAACCCGGACATTTGAAATAACAAGCTACAAATTGGTAAAAATGTTACAGACAATGTCTTAATTTAAATTCCAAAATTCCCCAAAAAATCTATCTTTGGAGGAAATCCGCTATCTGGGAAAAACTGGCCCCTTATTGGAATATTCTAATTTTAAGCATAGCCATTGAATTTAAAACTATAAATTCAATGGCATAGCGAATGAACCGAGCATCCAATTTGATTTATTTTTGTTATTCGTCTAGCTGTCTAGTAGGTGATGATAGGTACAGTTAACTGTGATGAAGTTCTCCACCTGGTTTGCTAGCAATAAAATCAATCACGGGGAGTAACGTCCACTTAAAACGAAACAACCTTTGTTACAGCATCTAGAATGGCCACGATCAAAGACACTGTCGCGTTGAACTCAACCCCAACCACCTTGTTCACCGATTGCTGTGTGTTGCGCGTGACGATGATGAGCTCAAAGAGTACTAGGAGATATGAACTTGCACTACTTGCAGCAAAACCTACTGCGCTTTTGGCGCACTTGAAATGTACTTGACATTTCAAACTATTGACCAATCATAAGCATTTCGGATGACCGTATCGTCGGATTTCGTACTTAAGCTGGATTCAGATGAATACGAAATCCGACGATACGGTCATCCGAAATGCTTATATGATTGGTCAATAATTTGAAATGTGCTTGACATTTCAATCTATTGACCAATCATAAGCATTTCGGATGACCGTATCGTCGGATTTCGTATTCATGTGAATCCAGCTTTATTCATGTGAATCCAGCTTTATTTTCCGTTTCTCAAAACCGTAGAAATCTCAGACCATATAGTACATGGACTGCTAATTGTAACTAAAATATGGTCAAGGACATCGCCTGGGTATGTGAGTTTCAGGGTAAACGAGTCTGTCCGAAGTTGTCCGATTAGACACGATTTGAGACTGTCTTAACCTATAAATTAACAAACGTCAATTAATTAATCGTCTAGATATGCCAAAAAAAGCAAACCTATTCTTATTTGTGGACGTATAGAAGATAATCAAGAGTATTTAAAGCTTCCCGTACTACGCGGTTACTATAAAAGCTACTCTTTACGTGATACGAGTGGTGTTTACACGACTTTAGTTTACCCTTAGATTCACATACCCACGACTACTAGTGCCCTCTATCTGTGACCACTCATTTTGTATTAAAAGCATAGGGCTAATAGCAGTCCATGTACTATATGGTCTAAGGTAGAAATCCACAAAATAAAAAATTACATTTTTATAAATCAGTGATGCTTTGGAATCTTTTAACAAACCACAATAGCGCATATCGCATCTCAGTTATCGTTTTTTGACGTCGAACGATTTTCATATTCAATTCTGTTTTAACTAACCGATGCAAGAAAAAGCGTCTATGGGGTAGTGTTTTTTTAAGAGAACGTAATGCTGCATCTGCATCAGAAATTATTTGTTTGTCATCTTCCGGAACCAGAGAACATAATCGAAGAAAAAGAAATTGATTTGAGGAAGAATTGTTCTTAAATATTCGGATTTTCCGCTACTGCAGCCAAAACGTAGAATGTATTGTCGTTTTCCTGATGGTTTTGACGGACATTTTGAACTTCATTGCACAACTTTAACATTTCTTGTTTCTTTTCAGTTAAATACCTACATGATAAACAATTTATATTAACTAATTTATAAACAAGTAGGTATAAATTTAATATACGTCACAAAGGCAAATCATGAAAAGTTATCGCTGTTTTTTTAAGTAATTCCAAGGCATATCTGATTTTTTATTGTAAAATGAACCTTTTTATTTTGTCGATTTCTACGGTTTGAAAAACGGAAAATTATGAGTAATAGTATGAACAGATGCAGTATTTTTTTCTCCGAAAAAAACGCATTTAGACTTTTGCTGTAAAATAATAGGGTTTATAGTAAGTAATTGACTATAAAGAAATTACCATTGAAATTCCTATGCTGCGTCGCGCTAGGCACCACCCTGTATAGGTACATAATATACTATAAAAAAAATACTTACCTTATAAAGAGTTATTCAACAACTGGTCCTTTTTTAAAAAGTACATAAAACACATTCAATTTGAATACAATGATGAAATCTGTATTATCAATTGAAAGAACATTTTTTGCGATTAATTTAAATTAGCTACGTTGTTGATGGCCCATTCTTTGAGAGTTTGAGCTCAATTTTCTATCACTCCTTCAAGCATTTCGACCGGAATCTCACGAATAATACGCACAGTGTTTGCTTCCAATGCTTCAATCGTTGTCGGTTTATGGCAAAGACTTTTGATTTGACGTAGCCCCAAAGGAAAAAGTCCATTGGCGTACCTAATATCGCGCGCACTATCTATAAGGTGGCCACTCACCCGTCCAAAACGTGAAATCAGCTGCTCTTCGAAATGACCTCTCAAAATATTCATTGTTTCACGAGCTGTGTAATGGCAAGATGCACCGTCTTGTTGAAACCAAATGTTGTGGAGATCACGGGCTTGAATTTCAGGTATAGCAAAAAGTCTGATACCATGGCTCGATAGCGAGCACCATTCACAGTTACGTTCCGGCCATCATCATTTTTGAAAAAATACGGACCGATGATTCCACCAGCCCGTAAACCATACATCAGCACGTTGTTTTCGCTAAGTATAACGGTAGCACTTCAAACTCTTCGGGCTGCTCTGCAGCGCAATACTACAATTTTGTTTATTGACGAAAAACATTCTTTACAGAACGCTGATTTTCATAATAAATTTGAACAATTTGTTGTTGAAATGTAACTAAGGTTTTCCATGATTAAATGGCAAACAATACTGAGTAGACACGTCGGTTGAGTTTGATAGTAGTGGTGCTTGATTTGCCAAAAAAATACGTATAGAAAAAAGAACCAGTTGTTGAATAACCCGTTACTAACAAGAGATACTTACTTAAGTGGTGTAAGGCAAAGGTTTCCAAAATTGGTCAGAACCGTCTACTATGCGGATGGCTCCTTAAAGCCCGTTTTACATATATACCTACCTTAGTTTTACAAAGAACCGATGATCAGGACTACAGTGACTCTACATGTACCTAGAGACAGTGTGGTCATACGGTGGTGTTATTTTTTATTGATAGTTTGGAGATCCGCCACGTTTCGACCAAATACATCGGATTGGTAGAAATTATCTTGGAAACTAAGGCAAAGAATTTTATTGCTGGACAAAATTGTGACAGCATTATTGTAACCATACCAAAATCTACTTAATTCCGTTAAATCAATCAGCTCAATAAAATTAGAATGACCGACATGGAGCATTTATGACTGTCATTAAAGTTAAACTGTATAAGTATCTGTAACTGGAAGGGCATCGATAACCAAAATCGCGTGCCGCATAACGTACAGGACTACAACCGGTATATTAAAGGTACCATCACTGCATCCATCTAAATGAGCTAAAGCTGCTAAAACTTCAAAATTTGGTAGGAACGATATAATCTTTTGACTTTGACGGGTGTCCTAACGGATCATTGTGGAATGAAAAGACTTCCACGATGTGTTCGAATTTAAATGTCGCATAGAATCAATTAACTCTTGGAAATTCGTTTAAATCAGATCATCCTATGCGATTAGAAAAGTCACCCAATAAGTTTGATCTTATAGCTGTCAATTTTGATTTGAAGTTAGAAAACGTGGTATTTTTGTAGTTTCGTCTACATACAATTATTATTGTACAGTTTTTAGTTTCCATGAAAAGTACGTCTTTTTGTAGGAACGGGCAGCGCTGTAAATCGTATTTATAAAATTCCGTCCATATAAACATCTTCACGTCATGGCAGAGAAAGATTTAGCGGCGGAGCTGTGGAACTACAGTGCAACTGGTACGTACGTAAAGTTGTTTTTAACTCGTAGTCAGTAGCAACATGGCCGAGCAATATGATGTTTCTCCAACAGAAAAGAAGGAATTGCTGGATCGTATGAAAAGAAGAACGGCTCTAAGGGAAGAATTTTTAAGATTGTCTACTAATCCTCATCGACACAGCTTGAGCGAAGGTGGCGTTGTGGTAAGTTAGCTTTTGTTTTTTAAACGTAACCCAGTTTGGTTATGTTAGCCATGTTAGGTAATAATGCGGTGTTGCCATTGCTATTGTTTGGATTTTAACTCGAAATTTTTTACTCGTAAGTTTTTAATCAAATGCAGACGCTTTTGCATTCAATGTCCAAAAGTATTGAACTGAAATTAAATTAGTCCTTAACCATTGAATATTTAATTATAGACAATGAATAGATTCGGGGAAAACCACTTAAATTGCATGTAGGCAGGCAACCCAACATGCCGTTGTGTTTCAGTGTGATTTCATAGCATAGCGGTGAAATCTATAAATGAATTTCATCTATGTTATCATGGTAGCCTTTTATGTAATGGATTGGTTGAAAGTTTTTAGTTATTTTTGAAAATATTCGGAGATGTTGAACAGTTGGGCATATCGGTGCGGTTTTTTTTGCACGCAAATGAATGAACAAACTATGAATAAAACACAAATTGATGCAATATAATTTTTTAAGACACGTAAATAGTAGATAGAAAGCGTTAGATTAAAGTCTTAAGTAAATAAAGTAAAACAGAAGAATTGTAAAGTTAGGTATATTATTTTTTAAAAGATGTAAAAAATTACATTTCTGGATAAACTGCATAACTAGCAATTCCACAGTGGTTGGTTTCGTTTCTGGAAATTCTTGCGTAACCCTTTTCTCCCCATTCGTCACCGTAAGAATTTTTCACAATCCAATATTTCTGCCCCTTTTCCTCGCCATATCCGACCAACAACACGGCGTGATTTAAATATTCGATGGACGATTTGCAATCCTTTTCGTAGTATATTCCACCACCATAAAATTGCCAGTTTTCAGAGGAAGCATCCATACCGACAGCAATCGGGCCGATATTATGCAATGCCTCTTTTAACGCATTTTCGTCTCCTTCTTCGATCGTAACGTACGCTAAAAAGCAATTTGTAAAATATTGTTTCTTATACTTAGTACAACTCTTACATTGAATGTTGGCCGCCACATTTTCTGTTTTTGCTTGACATTTATCTCCAGTTTCTGCAGTGTAGGGGTAGGACACGTCAGTGACAAGTCCTTTGTCCTTAATATAGTCATAGGCTGGCTCCAATGAACCACCGTCACAACCGTAGTTCTCATAGGGTTCCACCAGCGAACAATCTAGTACTTCTTGTGGACTGATGTCTTGAAGTTTTTTTGTTTTAATAGCAATGTGACTTTCGACAGCAGCGGCCTGAAATATTTTCCTGTATCATTCTAGTTTGGTTCAAACTTTCAACTACTTACCGATGCGAATGCATAACACGAAGCGCATTCGCCTTGGTTTTTAACCGAAGTAACAACACCCTTGTCCCTCCAATCAAATTGATCTACTACAGGTTCATTTTTAGGGACGTACTTCTTTACAGGACGATTCACTCGGAAATACGCTTTAATTTTCAAACCGTTTAGAAGCTTATTGAATTCTGCTGATATTAAATCGCAAAACTGATTCACTTTCGCCAAAAATGGCAAGTTTGCTATTTGCGTGAGTTGATTGATTTTTTCGTAATTGACGGAGAAAATCTCTAATCTCTTCTTTTCTTCTTCTGGAGTGGCATACTTTTTGCCAAATTTGCTCTGTAATTTCAAAAATGAAATCCTGGAAGCGTGTAGTTAGGGATTGATTATACCTTGAAGTTATTGAATTGCTCTGTAAGCAACTTTACTGTGAATGTTAGCGGTTTTGCTGCGATTTTCACGACAGTTTCAAGCGGTTTTGGTAATGGCAATAATTGTGATTCGGCCCGATGTACCAGGAAAACTCCCGCTAGCAGCAATACAATGGCGAGCTAGTAGATAGATACAGAATTTCGTTACGATTTTTAAATGCATTTAAGCAAAAACGAACAGTAGGTAAGCCACAGATCGTGGTATTAAAAAAAGAGATTTCTGTTCTGCCCTTCGCTACACTTATCACAAAATGTGATAAATGTTGCGCTATAAAAAATTATACTTCTTACCTTCATGGTTCACTTATTTTGACTGTTTCGTAGTTTAACTCGATATTCTTTTAAGATCGAAGTCCCCCTCCCATTATCGGTTATTTATTCCTTATTTTCAATGTTTTCTCGTATACCACTGATAAAACATTTTTTACGTACAAATGTCACAACCCACTAAATTAATTAATCGTTAATAGTTACTTAATTATAGAAAATGTCAACAACCAAGATACTGACTCACGGCAACTTGTTTTTTGTTTCGCTTCTTGTAACCTGTTTTGTATTTTGGTCCGGTGTAGGCATATTTTTACCATTTGAAATATTTTGAGGACCCATTAAATAAATCGTACTACCTATACAATTATGTTAATCATATATTAGCATTGTTAATTAACTTACAAATATTTCTAGTGATGACCATCAAGGGCTCAATAAAATATAAGCCTCGAAAATAAGTTATTAATACTGATGAGTTTGCCAGAAATTCCAAGTAATTGCCGTTTACAAATGGAGACTATTATGTAAAATAAACGTCGAGATTAATTGTGTATAATCTAAGTTAAGATATCGTCGAGTATAAATTTAGATAATGGGGTCTGCTTTTTTTTTTATTTTATTTTTATTTTATTTTTTTTTATCATGGGGTTCTGCTTTTTTTTAAACTTTTATAAACAATAACGACGTTTTGCCATTAGAACGATCAGTGGTGAATTACGTTTTCTATTTCTTATAGAGAAGCGCCATCATCTAAGACCTTGCTGACGACCATGAGCTTCATAGTTCAATAGCATTACCTCGAGCATTACTTTACATAAAAATTGATTAAAACATTTTTAATGAAATTAATTCCCCTTTGCTAAGTAATATAACAGTCATTTAATAAACTACAGTTGATACATATTTATTTATGACGTTAATTCTAACTAAGAAATGTCAGTGCACCAGTTTTGTTGCGAAAACGTCTAAATGCATTATAATGCGTTTTACTTAATTTGAAAAGAAATTTTTCATTTTCGTTTTTAATTTTTTCATGATAAACTAATCGTACTAAATTAATTTCTAACCAAAACAGATGGATGGTTTGATTTCGTTAAATTTTGGAGACACAGTGATCTCGATCAACTTTTGAAAAATCCAAAGAACTAACTACACACATGTTCACTTTTACATAGTTCTTAGGCACGAATAGAAAAATCTGACATGAAAACTGTATCTGGATCGCACTTTGGGTTCGATTAAACACACAGTTTAAATGATAAAAACACAAATTTATTACCCCACACATAAACGTTCGACAGCAGTAAGTAAATAAGGAACTTCAGTTCTTGATGACACTGAATTTAATGACAAAATTTGGTGGCTTTTCGGACGATAGTACACTTAATTTTTAATGAAAAGACATCCTTATATCACCATGCAACAAGTTGATTGGTCAACTCACACACGTACCAACTCTTTCTGATAACGGGTAACACGTTTTTAAAAAACAAATACTGCAATACAAATTCAAACGAAACGATCACACTTTATGTCCCAAATGTTTCTTAACTGCATACCGATAAGGCTTAGAGACTTAGAACCGCACATTTTTAGAAATAAAAGGAAACGCATTTTAATTCATCAATGTTGTTTCAGTGCTGTAGATTTTTTTAAATGTGACTTTAATCAAAGATGTGTCCACGATTAGTTTTGTTTGGCAATGGAGTACTTTTTTGTGATGTTTGTAACGTATACACCACTTGTTATCTGTATATTTATAAGCTTTTTAGACTGGCAATGATACTATATTTCAGGGGTGGCCAAACTTTTTACAAGACCCATTTCCTCGGCCATTTCTTTTTGTATGAAATTTGCGAGAGCCACACTTCCCATCATTGGCGAGAGGGCGGGGAGGGGTCTAGGGTTTAACAAATTATTTATTTATCTTTCTTTGTGGTTAGGTTGGAATAGCACTTTCAGGTGCTGATTTGGTAATTGCGACCGTTTTAACACAATTTATAGTCGAGTACAATGCTTCAACATCATAACCTGATCCACACATTACATGGACTACTTATTATTAACTCCAGATCCACGAGCTCTGTTTCTTTTAATATGTTTTTTTGAAAGAGAAAACTTTTGTTAATTAGGTACACCAACTTCTAATGGATTTCATAGAAAAGCAATGGCGGGTTCCAATTGTTTTGTGAGTGAGCCGCAGTACAAACTTAAAAGAGCCGCACTTTGGCCACCGTTGCTATATTTATTTATTGATGACGATATGTAAGTACTTTATGTACACTAGCATGAAAATAAATTATTATTATCATTATTATTATTATGTTTATTCGTAAAAAACCCACTAGATTTAAACTTAAAAAAATTGAGGCATTTAACATTTAACATACAGGGTGGCCCAACCTTATTGAAGGTGCTGAAACCAAACTAACGCCTAGCGGACGTAGTTTATACAATAGTAGATAATCCAGTTAGAAGAATGTTCGGTATTTTATTATTAAAATGAAAATTTGAATTAATTTTAACCAATCTAACTGGTAATACCGGAGGTTCGATCGTAATGCTTAAGATCCATCCAATTTTCCAAAGTGTTACTGACTTCCAAAGGAGAAATCCAACTGACAATTGGAGAAAATTTCAACGCATCGATAGAAGTAAGTTCTTTTGAATTTTTTTGTTGTATAAAAATAGAAATCGATCGTTCTTGTGGACTTCGTGTAAGGAAGTGTGCATTTGAACTCATTTTTATATTCCTGAAGGGGTCGATTTACGCGAGTTGACAAATTTGTGTATTTTTGTATAAAATGATAAGCGCGTCCAGACCGTAGATATTAGTAATTTTTACCAGTGCCGTAGAAAATTTTATTTTTGGATCGCAGGGTGTTCAACCCCTGCAAGTGTAACTAGCCAGACACATGGTTTAAAGTTAATCATAGTTTATCCACTGCAACGATAGTAATCAGAATGATTACCATGGATATTAACCTATAATTAATCTAAAACACATTTTAAATCTCCCTGTGCAGCAAATGGCCATACGATATGGAGAAAGTGAGATGAGTTATAGAGAACAGTGCGAGAGCTTTTAAATGCTGCTAATTAGACAAAAAAACTAACAATTGAGCGATGCTAGTTAGCAGCATGTTGGTGTCTTTAGTATCCATTTGCGAAGAGGGGGGGGGGGGAAACATTTTGCGCATTGGCATCATCATGGAGACGTGGTCCTAGCTCATGGGATGAAGCGCCTGTACCAACAGTAGTGCCACAATAGTAATTAAAAGAGGACCGTTTTTTGTGACATTATTTATTCAATTCATTATTAAAATAAATCAGATTAAAAGTGTAGTTAATAAAAATATAAAAATGAATGACTAATATCCTCGCTAATATCTTATTTGCACCCTCAAACTAATTGTTACATTATATGTTTAAAATAGGGGGTAGACTGCGTAGCTCGCAATTCCGCAGTGGTTAGTCTCGTTTCTAGCGATTTTCGCGTAACCATTTTCTCCCCAACTGGTGCCATATGAATTTTTCACAATCCAGTACTTCATCCCGTTTTCCTCCCCATATCCGACCAATGTTACAGCATGATTTAAGTTCTCGATGGCCGACTTACAATCCGGCTCGTAGTATATGCCGCCGCCATAAAATTGCCAATTTTCAGAGGAGGCGTCCATACCAACAGCGATAGGACCTATATTAGAAAGAGCTTCTTTTAAAGCCTCTTCGTCTCCTTCTTGGATGGTAACATATGCTGAAAAGACAATTCCACGTTTCCATTACTTACACTTACAATAACGCTTACATTTGATATTGGCGGAGACCTGGTCGGGGCTCGCGTTGCATTTCTCGCCAGTTGTCGCCGTGTAGGGGTAGGATTGATCAGATACCACACCTTTACTTTTAATATAATCATAAGCTGGTTCTAATGAGCCTCCATCACAACCGTAGTTTTCGTACGGCTCGACTTGGGAACAATCCAGCACTTCTTGCGGGCTGATGTCTTGGAGTTTTCCCGTTTTGATTGCTGTTTGACTTTCAACCGCGGCAGTCTGCAAATGCATTTTTCATTTTGCAATGTTATATAACAAGCATGGTGTATAAGGGGTAGTTTGGAATTCTTCATTATTATAAACAAATGGAAGTAGGTAAGAGAAAAAGTGACCACGAACTAAAAAGTTTGACAAAAAGTTAGAGGTAAAAAAATTAATCCAAATGAGAATAAGGAGAAAATTTTAAGCAACGTGGATTCTGGATTGAGATTTGTTCGATGATTTCTTTTATGTATCAAGATATATGTGTTAATATCACGTTGGAATACTTATTGTCTATTAACCACAAATCAAACTAAAAAAGATCAAGTTCACTAAGAAAGTCAAAATTTTACTTCCAGAAGGGAGGTTCAACCCCCTCGTCAACCCCCCTATATGTAAAAAGCCTGTTCCACTTGAAGACTAAAAGTTTTTCCCGAAATTGGTATGTTTATGCCTACATCAAGGGGCCATCCACTAGCCACAAATTTGTACCAGTAATGCGGCATTACGCATAATTCTACGTAATGCAGGTTAATGCAATATAATGCAGCGTAACGTAATGCGACCTAATGCGGGCTAATGCAGCGTAATCCGAGATAATGCAATGTAATGCAATTTAATGTGAGAACTAATGCAATATTAAGTTGCGTAATGCAGAGTAAGGTGGCACGTCTACAAAATACAGAACAACTTGCATCCACAAACTAACCTAACAAATTCATAATAATAATGCCAAACCTCATCATTTAACGTCATTCTCGAGAAATAGGTATTGTATTTTTCGAGGTTTTTTTTTAAAGAATAAGGGCGATGCATTCATAGTGAAGCACCACTTTATATTTCACGAAATATTGCTACCAGAGTCAAATGGATAAAAATTGATCCAAATTAATCCATAATTTTGTGCAAAATTGATTAAAATTGCGTTACACAGATTCATCCAATTAAATAACAAGTTAAAAAGTAATCGTAAACGATTTACATAAAGCGCATTTCCACTTGCATTCATTTCCCATTTGTAAGATGCAACTTCTGTTAAAATCGTAAAATCCGGCCACAAATATGAAAGATAGCGTTGCACATGGGCAATCCATTGTTGACGTGCTACTTCAATTTCAGTTTATGAGAAGAATTTCATTTCAATGCTTTTTTAAATAAGAAAGTTGGAACTGCGCATGCGCAAACCTAAATTTTAAAACTAATGTTAGATTTTCCTTTGTTCCAAGCGCCTAAGTATCAAATTTCACTTAAATGGTTCCATAGATAAAAAAGTTGACACTGCGCATGCGCAAACCTAAATTTTGAAACTAATGTTAGATTTGCCTTTGTTCCAAGCGCCTAAGTATCAAATTTCACTTAAATGCTTCCATAGATAAAAAAGTTGGCACTACGCATGCGCAAAATAAAATTTTGAAACTGGCGCTAGATTTTCCTTTATTTCAAGTGCCTATGTATCACATTTCATTTAAATTCTTCCATAAATAAAAAAGTTGGCACTGCGCATGCGCAAAACCAAATTTTGAAATTGGCGTTTGATTTTCCTTTATTCGAAGTGCCTATGTATCAAATTTCGTTTAAATTCTTCCATAAATAAAAAAAGTTGGCACTGCGCATGCGCAAAACCAAATTTTGAAATTGGCGTTTGATTTTCCTTTATTCGAAGTGCCTATGTATCAAATTTCGTTTAAATTCTTCCATAAATAAAAAAGTTGGCACTGCGCATGCGCAAAACCAAATTTTGAAATTGGCGTTTGATTTTCCTTTATCCCAAGTGACTATGTATCAAATTTCGTTTAAATTCTTCCATAAATAAAAAAGTTGGCACTGCGCATGCGCAAAACCAAATTTTGAAATTGGGGTTTGATTTTCCTTTATTCCAAGTGCCTATGTATCAAATTTCATTGAAATACTTTTGTAAGTAAAAAAGTTTGCAATTCGGTTTATAAATGGTCGAGATGCGAAAAGGGCACTGTGATTTTTGAATCGATTCGATTCAACTTTTGGCATTGCGTATTATATGGCTAAATCTATGCCCATATTGAATTTCATGCAATTCAGTTCATAACTAACGGAGATGAAAAAGCGATCGAACATTTCTAAACAAAGTTATCGTTCACACGGACAGATAGATGGACAGACAGACAAAGGAACAGACGGAGAGACCAACCGGCAGGACAACAGATAGCAATGCAAAGTTATAAACGATCTCTAGGATCGTTAATAAACGGCAAAAGTGTAAAATTATGGAACATGTAAAAAACGGTTTTTTTGTTTTTTTTTACAATAACTTTTTTTGTAAGCGGTACAGAAAAAATTCCTTCCTTGGTACAAGACTCGACACCATAACGAACCAAATAGCGAAAAAAAGTAGAACAATAGCTCTTAAGATAAAGAACTAGTAGCGTCGCAAAACGAGCGGACGGACGGACGGACGGACAAAGTGGCCACAATAGCGCATTTTATTTTTATTTTTGTGGAAATGCGCTAAAAATGAGGTGAGTGGTGGTGGGTAATAAAACTGCAGGTTAAGTATATTTTTTTATTTCCATCAACATCTTCGTTTATGCTTGATGATTAACTGAGGAACAAAGGCATTTATCATTTCTTTTTATTGCAAAGGGACCATTATGTAGCAGTTCTACTGGTCAATGAAAAATAAATCGTTCTTCCACTAACTGAACATCTTTATTTTTCGGCCACATGAATGAATCCAGTTCAGATTTAAGGAATTTTATTGGATATATTTGTATCAACTGATAGTATCCTTCCATTGTACCAACTACTATCGTAATAAACAGCATAATATTGTTCAATTTTGATCTCTTCTTTTTCTTCCGGTTTCTCTACTTCGCAGAATACGTCCGCTATCAGATGAAAAATTTGGCATATTGGCGGAACTGTCTGAACTGGATTCATCCGAGGATTCATCATTCCGTTCTATATTCACTACCTTTTTCTCAGACTGTCGTTTTTTTGTTTGTTCTCCTCTGAGTTCTCCTCTGAACCTTGATACCCTGTCGCTTGACAAGCGTCCAGAATTTTCTGCAAAAAGCCAACACACCTTACTTTTTTTGGCGGTTATTCTATTTCCCACTTTAACTCGTAGTAAAGAGGTAGGTATTCTCCTTCTGATTTGTAGCCGAGTAATCTTTTATATTTTTCACTTTAATATTTCTCAGATCTTTTAATTCTTCTGTTATTCCTTCTTCTTGAGCTTCCGTCTCTTTGTCTAAGATGATTTCCTTTAATGATATACTGCCGAGTCTAGCTCGATATCTAGTTATCTACAGTATGTCGAAAAAATCTACCAATGATTTAGTATCTTTGTTACACTTAGATAGACACCTATCTCAAGTACAGTAGTATACAACCAAAATTGCGGCTATATTAATATCAATATTCGCTGTTTTAAGTACTTTTATTAAAGTTGATTGGTTCCAGTACTGTAGAAATATTGCAAAATAGTGCAGGTTAATGCAGCTTAATTCAGGGTAATTCAACGTGACGCAGAATAATGCGACGTAATGCATAATACCGCGTAATGCAGCCTAATGTAGCTTAATGCAAAGTAATGCAAGGGCTTTTGTACCAGTAATGCAGGTAGTGGATGACCTCTCGGCCTACACACAGAATAAGACCTTCGGCCTACATACTTTACTTTATGTCAAGAAATTTTTGTTTTTATGACAGCGGGAGTAACACCTACTTGACTACTTTTCCTGTCTCCTGTCACGTTACCAGACTACTGTCAAAACTGACACGTTATAATATTAATAAAAAATTTAGAAATGTTATATTCCAAAAGACATAAAACTGACTTTGACTGGGAAATTAATCTACTCGGCCCCAAATGAGCCTCGTACTTCAATAATCATTATTTATTAGCCAGTAATGTCATTTCCCTGACTTATGTAAACTATAGCTGATGATGGATTAAAAAAATGCAAATACGTACCGACGCAAAAGCGTAGCAAGACGCACATTCTCCCTGATTTTTAATTTCTGTGACAACGCCTTTATCTCTCCAGTCAATACTATCTGCAGCATGTCCAGGTCCACCTTGGAGACTACCTCTACGTACCCGCCTCGATCCAGACTTCCTTTTAACTTTCAACCCGTTTAGGAGTTTATTGAATTCACTCGATATTAAATCGCAATATTCGTTAACTTTTGTGACGAATGGAAGCGCGCCCGCTTTGGTAAGTTGAGTTATTTTTTCGAAATTTCTCGAGAATACGTTTAGTTTTCTTTCTTCTTCTTCAGGGGATGCGTATGATTTACGAAACTGGGTCTATAACGGTTCAATTGAAACCTTTTTACTGTGCAGATATGATTCTTTACCTTAAAGCTACGAAATTGTTCCGTAAACAGTTTTATGGTTGATTGTATTGGCTTCGCCGCATTCTTTACCACGTCTATTGGTTTTGGCAGTCGAAATTGAGATTCGGTATGTTGAACATAGACAGCTCCTAGTAGCAGCACAAGTACAAGCTGAAAGTTAACAAATAATATTTATACTGTAAAGGACTCTTTTGAGTGTCTGAGTTTATATCGGATTATTTATCATAAATTTACATTATGATGAAATTAGAAAGAAAAATATGCATGCAAAATAAATTAACTCCCAGGGTGTTTCTTTTAGCTTTAGAAAGTTTTATAGGTAAGTTTTTGAAAATTAGTTTCTAGAGTTTCGACCTATAGTAGGTTTACACTGAAGACTGAATAGGTGTAAAATATTTTCAAAATGGCGACACTTGTGTAGAAAGAACCTACCTACTTTAAAAATTCGTTACATGAAATTTGAAAACCGTTCTAGTTATTGTAACCAAGTTTTCACTATCGGGTAGAGGAAGAATTAACACTTTCTTTCGGTGTAGAGGCACAACGCTTAGATTGCAGATTTATGAAAAATTCGAAAATATGTAGTTCCATTCATCTTTCAGATTAACCCTCAAGTACTTACACATTTTCAAAAGCATACCTATAAAACTTTCACATAAGCGTCTTGTTCCCAAAAATACCCTGATGTCGTGATATTGGATGATTCTGCAAAATAAATGTACACTCCACACGCTCGGTGGAATTTAAAAATACATGAAACCGAAAAAAAGTTTGAACGCTAATAAAATAAATACCAAAATTAACTTCTTACCTTCATGGTTTATTGAATTCAAATGCCATTTGTTCATACATGTCTTTGAGGTCGTTGTTTTACCCTTTGTTCTGGTTGACTTAATTTTAATTGCTTTTAATCTATAACTGATTAGAAATTTTTAGGAAATGTCACAACATTAATGCAATAATGAGCTCTCCTTTGTGAGGCATTTATTTTATATTTTAAGAATCGTTACCGAATTCCAAAATCTTTTGATAAGATTTCTGACACCAGTTCGGCTGGCTGTGCCAGATCTTTATTTTAAAACCTGTGCTCGTGTGAGATCAAGGGAACTTCAGCATTTTTGTGAGATCAAGGGAACTTCAGCATTTTTGTGTGGCAATCAGTATTCTATATTGGCCAGTTTTAACTATATCATCAATACGATCTTGTCGAAGGCTACCGAATCGGTCCAAGCGTTTGACAGGTATCGTGTTCACGAACAGACGGACACCATCGATTCCCCTATGAAGCTTTCATCGTTTCGCTCTGCCGCTTAATAAATACACGGCGAGCTGGATTTCGTAGAAAACACAAGGAATGATTTACCTTTGAGGAGAAATTATGGTAGAAAACTTCATATCGTCATGACTTCGACTGGTAGCGATCAAACTAAGGGTGGCAGTTAGACGTTCGTGGGCATATATAGACCTTTCCTCATCCTGAAGTAATTTCGCCAATCGTCAGGTTATTAACGTATGTAGTTCCTTCAATAAATTAATACCTATTAGTACTAGCGGTATAACGGAAATTCTTGAAAGATACCGCATTTTTTTATACCAAGGTGCCACTTGGTACAATTGTTCCTTAGAGCCATTTAAACGATTTGACCCGAAGAACACTTGACATTTTCCGTGTGGGTGGATTTTAGAGGGGGTGGGGGTGATTTATTGTAACATTTTTTAAAAAACTAAATATGGCCTAGAGACGAGATCTGGGTGTCGATTTCGTATGATTTTAACCCGAGGGATCCAATGGTAGCGCGAGAAATGTAATCCGGATACCGGAAGTCCGTGAAAAGCCGCCATTTTTAGAAAATGACAGACTTTTGATCGAATTATATTTCTAAGGCACACCGGGTCGTGTAAGGTGTCTAGACTTATGTTTTTGGGGTCAGGGAATTCATTTATGATAACAAATATAACCTACTGGCATCGGAACTGCATGAGAGGCTTCCTTACTGCACTTTTTGAAGACGTCGCACGCGGTGAAACCCAAGATATTCCAAAGTTTTAATACCTATATAAATTTGTAATATTTTATTTAATAAAAATACACATTAACAAAACATAAGATATATTAAAATATGGGGTAAAAAATGTATAAGCCTATGAAGAATCACCAAGTACATCGCTGACCTCCTCTGAGATTGCGTATCACCACTGAAAAGGAATTCTACATATAAATATTAAAGGTTCGGTAGAAAATTATATCGAAAGTATACAATATTCTTACCCTTTGTTTGAGCAATCTCCCATACACTTTTGGCATGCAGGGGAACAATGGTAATCCGTGTCGCTGCAGCAAGAGGTGGAGGAGCATATAAGGAGGGCGGCGTATGTCGCTGGCCATATCTGGGGATGTGCAAACCAGGTGATGAGAAGCTCTACAAGTCCAGAAGGATGGGGAGAGGCTGGAAGGTTCTGTAGTCCAAGCTGCCACAAGTATGGAAGGCAGTCCGTGCTCTGAACAGGTGTGGCTGCGCTACAGGCTGCGAGACCCTTCGGTGCAACTGCCGGCGACACGGATTGCCATGTTCCCCTGCATGCCAAATATGTATGGGAGATTGCTCAAACAAAGGGTAAGAATATTGTATACTTTCGGATATACCTAATTTACTACCGTACCTTTTATATTTATACCGGGTGAATATTCCCAAAACGAACATAGGGAATTAACATGGGAAAAGGGGTTTTTGCCGATCGTTGCTCCCCATGTTAACTTAGAGGGTTGATCATGACACCAATCGAAAGATTTTTTTCCTCGTCTAATGATACACGAATTAGTTCATTTTCAGGTGTATTTCTCACTGTATTATCAAAAACTCGAGAAATCCACTTACCAAAATCATGTTTAGCCATGACTAAGACAAAAAGCAGATTCAAACGTCGAAATCAATATCAGTTTATGACACCTGGCATTATTTTTTTTGTAAAATGCGGTTCACTGGGGAAAAAGTATTTATAATAAACAACGTTTACAGCGGAAATATTTACTCTAGTACGCGATATTTGTTTTCCGTGCATGTGAAAACCTATTTCAATTCGTTAGGAAATTTCCATGGTTTAACATGATTTTGCTAATTGGATTTATTGCCGAATTTTTGATAAAATAATGAGAAATACACCTGAAAATAAGCTAATTCGTATATCATTAGATGAGAAAAAAATCTTCTTTTGATTGGTGTCATTACAAACCCTCTAAGTTACCATGGGGAGCAACGATCGGCAAAAAACGTTTTTCGCATGTTAATTTCCTACGTTCGGTTTTAAAATATTCACCCGGTATGTGAAATTCCTTTTCAGTGGTGATAACGCAATATCAGAGGGGTCAGCGATGTACTTGGTGATCCTTCATAGGCGTATAAATTTTTTACCCCATGTTTTAATATATTTTATGTTTTGTTAATGTGTATTTTTATTAAATAAAATATTACAAATTTATGTAGGTATTAAAACTTTGGAATATCTTGGGTTTCACGGCGTGCGACGTCTTCAAAAAGTGCAATAGGGCAGCCTCTCATGCAGTTCCGATGCAGGTAGGTTATTTTTGTTATCATAAATGAATTCCCTGACCCCAAAAACATAACTCTAGACACCTTACACGACCCGGTGTGCCTTAGAAATATAATTCGATCAAAAGTCTGTCATTTTCTAAAAATGTCGACTTTTCACGGACTTCCTGTATCCGGATTACATTTCTGGCGCTACCATTGGATTCCTCGGGTTAAAATCATACGAAATCGACACCCAGATCTCGTCTCTAGGCCATATTTAGTTCTTAAAAGAATATTACAATAAATCACCCCCACCCCCTCTAAAATCCACCCACACGGAAAATGTCAAGTGTTCTTCGGGCCAAATCGCCTAAATGGCTCTAAGGAACAGCTGTACCAAGTGGCACCTTGGTATAAGAAAATGCAGTATCTTTTGGTATACCGCTAGTACTATATGGGAATACTCCGTTCTTTCACCCAAAGTCAGATGTTTACGTCTGTTTTCGGTAGTAATTCCGGACTGTTACACACGTCTTTTTACAAAACAAGTGCACGCCACTGACATTAAACATAGGTCCTCCTCGGTCAACGACGTCTTCATTTACTTGTAGAATGTACAAAAAAAATTTCGAAACCCTGTCGTCCGTGCTGATGAACAACGTACAAGCTATCTACGGAGATGATTTCAGAAAATTTTGAAGTAGATGGGTGACAGAGTTGCACGATGTTCATGTGAGAGTTTCAGCCACAGACGGACATATACAGCATTATTTTGTAAATTATAATGCATTTTTGGAGTTTTAACACTGATTATTATTTATTAGTTCAATAATTTTGCACAACAATAAACTAAATTTAAACAACGACTGGGTAAACAGCATAAGTGTTGATGCCGCAGTGATTTGTAGCGGTCCGTGCAATCTTCCCGTAACCTTTATCTCCCCATTCTGTACCGTACGAATTACGAATTAACCAATATTTGGTACCGTCAGGTTCCACTCCGTATCCGACCAAGAGTACAGCGTGATTCAAGCTCTCAATATCCGATTTACAATTCGGCTCGTAGTAAACCCCTCCTCTGTAATCCGCAAAAGATTTGTGAGTGGCATCAATGCCTACGGCTATTGGTCCCACGTTGTTTAATATGTATTCCATGGTTTCTTCATCGCCTTCATCGATGCTCATGTAATCTATAGGATAAATTGAACGGGACAATTGAGTAAGATGTTTACTTTACCGTTAATCCTCCCTACGGATTTTTCTTGATTATATTTACACTTGGATATCGAAGCAGTGTATGGGTAATCTTCTTCCGAATTGATACCAACGTTTACGACGTAATCGAAGGTAGGTTCGAGTGCTCCACCGTCGCAACCGGCGTTTTCGAAAGGTGCCACCATCGTGCAGTCGATCAAATTCTGTGCACTCAAAACTGTATACTGTCCCGTTTTGTAGCACATTTGGGCTTCAATTGCAGCCGTCTAAATCCGAAAGGTATTCTATTACGGTAAACTAGATTCGCTTGATAACTTACCACCGCGAATGCGAAACTACCGCGACATTTTCCCTGAAATGTGATAGGTGAAGAACAATTCAATCTACGCCAATCGACATTTCCTGGCTTGCCCTTTTCTGTAATAGATGCTTCTGTTGTTGTTGTGGGTGCATGCGTGGTTGATGCTGTAGTTACTTCCACTGTTGTAGGTGTTGTGGGTGATTGGGATGGAGTGGGCGATGGTTGCGTGGTTGATTCTGTAGTTGTAGGTTCTGTTGGTTTTTCAGATGTAACTGTGGATTGCGTTGTTGATTCAGTAATTGCAGCCAGAGTGGAGGTGGGTGTTGTAATTTTAGGCGGTGCTACCGGAAGGGATGGCTTTGTGGAGAGCGAGACTACGACATGAGCTGTGGGTGGAGGGGTGTTGATTTCTATGGAAACTATATGTGGTGGTGTAATTTCAACTGAAATTGTAGGCATTGGTGTTGTGGTAATCCTTTTGTACGGTTTGTATCGCAACCCGCCAACTAGCAGGTTAAGTATCGCCCCAACCGTATGACCAACGGCGTCCAGTATAGAAGTTACCGGTTTTAGTATGTTTAGACCCAAAAGACCTCCGCGGGGTTGGGGTTTACTAGTCGTTGTTGATTGATGTGAGGGCCGATTAAATAAACCAAACTGTACGGCTTCCGAAAGTGTTGCCGCAACGACTATTGTGACCACCACCAAAAGAATGCTTTTCTAAAAAGTTAACACTTTGTTGAAATATTCTGAAACAGTTCACTTACCTTCATTTTAAAATGTTGTAAATATGGCATGCGAATTGTTTGAATCGTACGTACGAATGGTATCACTTCTAAATGCTCTGCGTTTTCATTCCAAGATCGTTAATTACTGATAGATAGAATTTTTAGAATAAGTGAAAGGTTACATGGTGATAAATTCCTATCAGTTACGAAAGTTTTCTGTATCAACTAAATTTAATAACTTTTCCAAATATTGCCAACATAATTAAAATGGTGTATTATGCTGGTGTACCTATACGTCAAATAGTTCGGGGAATAAAGACCAAAACAAGACTAAACCATACATTTCGAAAAAGTGGGATTTTTACATGAAGCTTCTTTTTGTGGTTCTTAATAACATCTCATATATCTTCGCCGATGCGTGTTCCGTTAAAAATGTTACGCGGGTTCAAAAAGCAAGATTAACGGTTTTTGTTTTTTAGAAAAATCTCGCTAACGGTAACTTATCGAAAAAATAGCGGTTATCAAATGTATAGCTTACAAAAATATACATATTAATACTTATTTTCGTTTTGGCCCAACAGTTTTTGAGAAAATCCGATTTAAATAGTTGAGGTAGAGTAAAAGATGCGTTTTTAAGGGATGTTATTAGTTTATTTTTTGATTTGCACGATAATTACTATAGTCCATTGAAAAGTTACATTTGGGGTTGCGTTTGTCAGAGGACGCAATTTTATTTTTTAGATATCAACGGGGGTTAGTCTAAAGTTAAATCCAAGTTTGTGGGGTTGCAGCCCTTGTCCCGCGGCCGTCATCTTGAAAAAAGGGGTGCAAATGGTTTTATGGTTTATCTGACAAACTATTGGTAACAAAGTTATAAACGAAAATTGATGAACTAATTAAGATTTTACAGCGCTACGAAACGAATACAATTCTCTAGATTCATAAAATCAGAGTGTTCATTTTCGACAATACTGTGCAGGGATAAAAGATAGTAACCGTGTGGGGATAAAAGAACATCTACGTATTAGTGTTGTCTTTACGAGACGGCTACTCAGAAGTCTCCGATGTCGCAGGAACTAAGTCTTGGCAGCGTTTGCGTCGCACGAAGAAACATCAGTCGACACAGAAGTACAATTCGATAAGAACACCATGCCAACGTTATCACATGAGAAATTTCATGGCAATGATAAGAACAAGGCTAATTTCATTATACTTCTCAAAAATTCATTCTCAGAGGTGGGTTTCACTGTCGACCAAGTACAATCAGATGCAGACACCCTCATCGTTCGTTCTGCTTTTGCTGCATCCCAATCGTTTGACTCAGTTACTATTGTAGCTGAAGATATCGACATACTGTGTTGCTCACGGCTTTTGGAGCAAAGAAATATGTTTTTTTAAACCGTGAAAAGGACGTACAGGAATTGTATTCTCCGTCAGGTTTTATGCACAAAAACGTCATTGCAGCTCACAACATTGGCAAACTAAAATTTCTCATAACCCTGGAGAAACATCCAGAGTTAGCAAGTGGAATAGCGTTGTTTCTCAATAAGAGAATCGATCTTGCTCTGCTCACTGTCATTGGTGAACATTTTTTCATCTTTTTATATGGTGGCAATAGATGATGATTTTTTTAACAGCATTAGATACAAACGATTCGCCAAATCAGTGACAACGAGTAGGAACATTTAACTCGTCTTCAATTCCAACACAGCCTGGTCCATCAAAGAGACTAAGGAAACAGTAATCATGTCATTTAGAACATTAGAAAGGTACGTTAAAATCATTAATATTTATGTATAGTTTAAAGCTGAAGCGCTATAAAATCTTAATGAATGAATAAAATCGAAAAAGTTTGTAATGAAAATTATTCCTTGAAAACTCCCCTATAAAAATGGCCTGATTTCATTTTTTTGTAAAATTACCAGAAAAAAAGTTATAACGGCCAATTGAAAATTTTTTATAAAATGTTCATCCATTTTCGTTTATAACTTTGGTACTTTTGGTTATACGACTAAAAGTTACTGAAGCAAAGTTGTAGAGAATTTTATTCTTATTCAAAAATGTCTGAACAAATTTTTTGTAAGACCAATAGTTTGTCAGATAAACCATAAAAACCATTTGCACCCCTTTTTTCAAGATGGCGGCCGCGGGACAAGGGCTACAACCCCACAAACTTGGATTTAACTATAGACTAACCCCTCCTTGATATCTAAAAAATAAAATTGCGTCATCTGACAAACGCACGCTAAGCCCAAAAAATGTAACATTTCAATGGACTACTAACCTAAATGTAATGCTATTTGGTATCGTTGCATTTTTTCAGAGCTCTCCAACGACGTAACACACAGGGGGGGGGGGGGCCACTTTTTAAGATTTAAAAGTTGGGGGGGTGGGGGCGCAGGTGGTTGGAGCGGGTGCGTCGCCAACTATGTATTTTGAATTATATATTTTTTTTAATCAATTATGTATGTAAATAATTATGCAATAACTATTAATATTATTACCAAAGTAAAGTAAATGTTTGTAAGGATACTCTCTAAATGACTTGTACATTGTTTAATGGAACATGAAATCGAGAAGGAAGTATAATGCATACTATTGTATCAAGCGGACAATCGACGGTTTCCTAATTCTCCCCTAGGAACCTTGAGTTTTAAAATCTTAATTAAATTTCATAATGTACTTTGTCCTCTCTCGCTCTAACAATTAAATTAGAAAATTGTGTTTAGCAATACCTAATGTATTCTGGTAGTAAACCCGTGGGGCTCACTATGATTCACGATATGATTTATGTCTATTTAAATACAACACAGGTGTTTTAAATTTCATCTCTGTGGGGTACCATTAGTTGAACACTTAATAACTATTACAAACTTCCAGCCGTCATGTAATATATGAAATAGGTAATAACTGAGGTAATAACTCTATGGTTGACAATTTTCTTAGGTGTGTAGGCTATGGGCAATGTGATTAAATTTAGAGGGGTACCGTAAGTAAAATGGTGCCACTTAGAAAAACCTTAACATCCATATTTACATTTACTATATTTTAGCACATCTACTTCTCATTTGCATATATTTACTACGTTTACTCGAAATTTGACACACTTGTACGCAATTTCAGGATATTGGTCGGTTGTTATACGATTACAATTGACTAATCATTTAAAACAGTCTTTAACAGTAAGGCTAGATAAAGTGATTGTGCACTCTAATGCCATCATTTTTAGCGCATTTTTGCAAAAAATTTTTTTGTAAAAAGTAGCTTTTAATCTCACTTTGGCTGGCTGGCTGGCTGGTCGGCTGGCTGGCTGGCTGGCTGGCAGTAAATGCGCGCCCGTAGAAAAACGCTTGTAAAAAGACAAGGAGTGTACATGTAACTATCGGGGCTGAGTAATTAAAAACGTTAGGGATGGGGCTACAAGATTTGGAGTCGACGACATCTGGACGCCATCCCCGAGCGTATTATACTAACCTGGAGATTTTTCAGTTTTTATCTATCTTCTTCTACAGTTTTTCTCCGATTATTTTCAAATTGGTGTCGTCGGGAAGATCTTGTCAACGCGCACAACTCCTGCGTGGCGGAATTTTGTTTTTTTTCCTAGGGGCGAAATAAAACACCTTTTGCGCGGCGCGCTTCGAGGGGTAGTCGACTTTGGGCGCCCAAAAGTTTCTTACAGCGCGAATCGCGGTCTCTCTTTCTCGTGTCACTAATAGAAGGTCGAGCTATGTGAAGTACCCAAAAGTTGAATACGATTTTATGCCGGGATTTTAGCGAAATCTACCAAAATGTGAATTACGAATGAACGGGACGTCGGAACTGTGTATCGACAAAGGGAATGTGGTAACCCCCGACGAGATCTTACTGATGGTGGAGTCGAAACTTCAAATCCGAATTGTTGCGGGTGATCAGAAGTGGGTGTCGACAAAGGGAATATGGTAACCCCCAAAGGATTTTAATGATGGTGGAGTCAAAACTTCAAACGCGAATTGCGAGTGCACGGTAAGTGAGAAAATGGTACCGACAAAGTGAACGTGGTAGCTTTCGGCAAGATCTTATTGATGGTGGAGTCAATATTGGCTAATAAAACACTGATCTGCCACACAAAAATGCGCTGAAGTCCCTTCGATCTCACACGAGGACTTTGATCATTTTTTATTTCAAGTGGGACATGGAGCACGAAATAAAATGAAGTTCATAATATAGTACATAGTACAATGCCGTTTCTATGGAAACGACCGCTGGAACAGAACTTAAGCGTACTATTTTTGACGTGTAAATTAAATTTTCAGAAGCAAAATAAAGTTTTGTATTATATCGACGGTAAAGGTAGACCAACCATCTTGTGAATGTTAATTCACTCAATGGTTAAAATATGCCTTTATCGTCTTGTATAATAATAGTTATTTATTATACAAGACGGTAAATTGTGTCGAAATATACGTAGCGTAGTTCCACGTTGAGTCAATTTGTGGATGTCAAGCGACCTGATCGTATGAACAAGTTGATTTTGTTAGTGGAAACGGTGTGCGTCCCGGAATGAGTGCCACTCAAAGAAAATTAGTGAGGAGTTAGTTGTTCGGGGAGAAATGTGCTGTTTATTAATAGCACCGAAAAATCGCGAAGTATTTTGTTGCCGTTGCCACGAAACTTTCTCACGTTAGAATACCGATATCCGATGATGCATTTTTCCATACGTAATTTTCTAGGTCCTTTTCCGCGATTTAGTGAATCTATCCAGCCAATCAAAATGTGAATCTCTTTGGTTACTCACTAAAACTTTGTACTGTCTTACACGCGATTGATTGTGGTTTTCGCCCAATAGCCCTTGGCTCTCATACGCCACTTTTTAAACTTTGACATAAGAACATTTTGGAATAAACCGCTCTCTAATAAAACCACCCTTTATCTCTCCTAATACGCATTACCTAAAAAACCCAACTCGTAACGAAATTTAACAGGAGCTCCCGTTACACTGTAAACTTTTTTTAAGCACCACTCGAGGTTTGACTCTTTCCAAAGACGAACAGCAAACTACCGACTACTGAGCAGGAGCACATAATATTCGTTATCACTTTGAGCGCTACTCAATTTCTATCTTAACTCTCCCCGTATGAAATTAAGAAGGTACGAGGGTAGTAAAGTAATAACAATAAAATTAATTATTAATTTAATAATAATTATTATTAAAAAATCAATTCAGATTCCAAAAGAAATACTCCTTTATTCTCAATATCAAATTGCAAAATAAAATTGTCTCCAAAATTGGACAGCGTAACCCCCAAATACAAAATATTGCCAAAATATTCAATATTATTAATTACTTGACATTTCAAAACTCTTGTTAAGATTAAATGTGCAATTTAAATTCCCCAATTAACCAAACCCCCACTTGGGAATGATCGATTCTAGGATCGATTAGTAATTAATTGACTTCCTATATAAACAGGGTTCCCAAAAGCAAAATGAAATACGACCAATAATGTATGTAGACGTAACAATCTTACCTTGAATAAAATTCGCTCTCCTGTAGCGAGTCCGACCCTGTAACCAAAAAGAAAATCCACGGACCTAATTCAATGGTTAGCTAATTACTGCCTGAAGAGCCAATGCATATTACTTGTCGCGGTAAGTCTAAGATGGAAAACATATCCGCTCGGTGTAGCAACTACTCGTAGAAAATAACAATGGAATTACCGCGTTTAAGTCGATCATTCATCGGTAGGAATTACGATAAATTACTGACCAAGTTATCTCTATAAGAGGTATTTAAGGATACGCTGATAACACACAGAAGTAAAGGAAGGTATCCCCTGGCTGGTTAAATGTGTTGGATAAATCCAGTTCTTCGAACGCTTATCTCATGGCCCAAGTGTCCAGATGGTCGGTACAATCAATATAATGGCGTCGTGATCGTTATCTTCCTTATAAGATGGACACTGCTTTGCGTCCAATTAAATTCATATCTGTGCACGGAAACATACTGGTAGTTTTAACACCCTCGAGCGGGGCTGGTGTTGTTCCGCAGTAAATACCCGGAGGAAAAAAAAACCTAAAAATGCTACATAAAACGTCCGTCTTAAAATCCCAAACACACATACCTCAAGTTAATGAGAGGGCGTAGAAATCAATTAATACGAATAACGATGTAACAATTATTTAATTCGTCGGCTCAACCGTCAGATATCGTATGTCTAAAAAGAAAATGCCCCAAGATAAGGAAAGAATTAGCAAAATGGTTTCACTTACCACATGTAACAAATATTCTGATAACGATTCTCAATAACGAGATCAGTGCGAAATCGAAACGAACTCAATTTCGAAATCACAATTAAAAGTGAATCGTCAAAGGTAGAATAGCTTTTTAATTAAAAGTTCAATCTACCTTAAAGGAATTAACGCGCCATTAGGTTTCGACCAACGTGCCGAACGAAAAGTTTTACAAGAGTGTCCTGTCATTTTTGCCCCGAACAATTGCGTTGTTAAATTCCATGAATAGGTGGACCATCTATCAAATCGTTTCAAATGTTGCCGTCGTGCGCAACTTAAATTTTTTTAAGTACATTAAAAGAAAGCCATATTCTTTCTCTATGTACTGGTCGAAATGGGTTGCGATAACTACAAACGTTTTCAAGAAATCAAATTTTCAAGGTGGTGCATTTGCTTTTTTTTTAAAAAGTCAAAATAACTTAAAAACCATAAATTCTAGATAACGACATGTGGGTATCAAAAGGGCTGAAATTTCAGTAGAATCCAAAAACGCAATAAATAATAGGGGTTGTCATTGAAAATAACGGAGTTAGTAGCTACTTTTAGTAGTTAGTGCCACCATTGTGAAATATTCAGAGTAACTCCCAAGTACAACATTTTCAAAAACCTAGGTACCTATTTCACTTTCTCAGAAAAGTTTAACTAAAGCTCTACCCTATACTGTAACCTGACTGTAACCCACATCTACTTCTCTCCCGACTTCTCTACGTGCCCTTATATTTATAGTTACAGTTGTAAGTTTGTGCTTCATACCTTATTATTTTAAGTCTCTCAGGTGGCTGATAACAATTATCGTGTTTCTTTTGTCAGTGATAAGGGAAATGGTGAATAACGTGATCGTTCAGAGTTTACAACTCTATCGTATAACTAAAAGACCATCATCTTTTATTTCCGTTTTTCCAGCTTGGAACGTGGAAAATTGAAAAACAATACATAGGAATGTACAACATTTTTCCGACAGAGTTTCATTCTAAAATAAATGCAGTAAGAAAAATCCGTCAGTTTGTCCCTAGGCTACACTCTGCTGCATGCTCATCTTCCAAGAAGAAGTAAATATGTTTACAAAGTAAACTTCTTTAAATCAGGAAAATGTTCCATTACTTTTTAAGGACTTTGTCGCTATCGCTCTAGGATAATTTCGTAAATATTTTTGTTTATTTTATTAGTCATTCTATAAAAACAAAGCAAAATGTAAACAAATCTCGTGAACCATAAATTATTCTGAATTTAGCCTATTTACATATTAAAGTACCTTATTATAATTAACTATCACATATTTGGTTAAATTGGATTGTGACATGTGTTTCGCTTTATACCACGGGATATAATGCGTAAGTTGCAATTCCACATTGGTTGCTCACATTTCGACTTATTTTCGCGTACCCATTCTCTCCCCACTGTACACCATATGAATTTTTGATGATCCAATAGTCCGGTGTATATCCAACGATTAGTACCGCATGGTTTAGTCGGTCAATTGAGTTACCGCATTTTGGTTCGTAGTAAATTCCACTTCCATAAAATTGAAACGATTCGGCGCTTGCATCCATTCCTGCAACAACGGGACCTTTTGTCGCAACCGCTTCCTGTAGACCTTTTTCGTCACCTTCGTCGAGTACAACGTAATCTGGAAAAATGTGCTAGTAATGTTCTTGGACGCATCACATACCTCTAACTCTCGTTACACTTTCATCTGTTCGAAATTTACATTCGCCTTCTTTTTCGGTATATGGATAAACTTCGTCTGAATTAATGCCATTATCCTTAACGTAATCAAAAGATGGATCAACCGCGCCATGTTGACACCCAGAATTATCGTATGGTTCAACCTTGGAACAGTCGACAATATTTTGTGGGCTGATGGCTTGTAAGCTGCCACTCTTAAGAAAATAGTGACTCTCAATAGCGGCCACCTATAACGATTTGGTATACGTTCGTTAGTATTTGATTGATTTTTTAACTTACACTAGCAAATGCATAACAAGACGCACATTGAGCTTGATACCTTGCGGGTGTTACCGCACCCTTTTCACGCCAATCCAGACTCTCTGGAATTGTGGGATTCATTCCCGCCACAAAGCCTCTTCCTTTTGTTTTAGACCTATCGATAGGTCTAAAACCGTTCAAGTACCTATTAAATTCCTCCAGCAGTAAGTCGGCCAAGTGATTTATTTTCATCGTGAACGGCGCAGACCCTGCCTTTTCAAAATCTAAAAGTTTCTGATGGTTGTTGTTGTTTACCATAACCTTTGTTAAAGTTACTCTGCAATTAAGTTAATAATAATAACGTGTAGGTATATCGAGTGATGTGCGTTCACCTTGAATTCGCCAAATTGCTGCGTAAACAAACTGATGGGGTTTAATAGTTTTGGTATTTTTGATAGAGGGTCTGTACGCTGCAACTCGCACATCCCCAATGTCATTAGTAAGCAAGCAAAACTGAAAAGCTGAAACAATTACTGTTCGGTGTAGTTACGTTTAACTGCTAATAATTTATTACCTTCATATTAGGAATTCACATCACTATCTTGTTTAAATAATGTGTTGGTGTTTTGTACCTTTTATATACCCTCTAAGTTGACCTTGTGTGGTCATTGGAAAATTATTATTGCGCTCTTCCTCTCTTCCTGTTTTACGGACAATTAAGATACGAATGTGTTTATTATGTTACATTAAGTGATTCATATTTGACTAAAATTAGGAAATATAGGTATAGCTCGCCACATTATGTTGCAGTAATCACAGTGCCACCTCTAGGAAGTTAATGAATAAGGTCTCCTTTTTTCTGCGTCCCAGAACACAGTCGGCCATAACATTTCTTGCTGGTGGTAAAGTTTTGAATTTTTTCTTGCTCGCTACGCTCGGATTTTAACCTGACATCTACGGCTGTTATGCTAGCCTTAACATACCTAGGTATGTTAATAGCTATTATTTTATAGCATATGTTAAATTGAAATTTTAATAGGTTTGAATGAGTAGGCTAAGCCGTTCTTTAACCGTAATGATAGATAAAGGTGAAACAGATGATTGTGCATTTTAATGACATCTGTCATTCTTATTTCAAATGTACGATATAAAATGACGTTTAGAACATATGA